CAGCAAAACTGTCACTTATAAACATAAGGCTGAATGTCATCAAACATGTACGGTAAACATAAGTGCAAGTTGATTAAACTCGAAAGATGAATGAAAGGATAACACAATAAACGCATGGGAGCTGCTATACTGTTTGTTTTCTAAGCTATAAACTAAACAGGAATTAACAATAATAGGAGGAAGTTAACAAACTATAGAGAGAGCAAATGCTGGGCAAGTCACTGGCGAGTAGCCTGCATCATAATTGCAAGCTATGGTATTTTTTGCTAGCGTGACAGTTTTTCTTTTAAAAGCCTTCAAAATCCTCCTGTTCGTCATCTGATATCATAAGTTCATCAATGACATTTTGTGATACATGTGAAAGGCAGTCGTCATATGGATCGAATTCCGTATTAGATGGTGTGCTCTCAGCTCCGGCTTCCTCTTCATCTTGCCACAAGTAGTCGTCCTCCATACCATCGAATGAATTTGATATTCCACACTTCTTGAAAGACTTGACTACTGTCTCTGCGTCAATATCATTCCAGGCTATGACAAATTGGCATAAAACATCCAACTGTGGAGCACGCATATTTCCTCATTTTGTGTACGAAATTTCTCCGCTAACCATCCATTCATTCCATTGTTCTCGAATGCGATCTTTAAACGGCTTGTTTAGGCACACATCCAATGGTTGTACTAATGATGTCAATCCTGCAGGAATAACTGCTGCATCCGTGTTTAGTCTTTCGAGCCTTTGCTTGGTGGTAGAGTTAAATGAGCCCTGAACATATCCCACACCAGTAGACTACGTTTTTGAATAAGACCGCCTGGTCGTCTGCTCCATATACTATCAAGCCATAGTTTCACACCCTCTTCATCCATCCAGTCTTTTCATTTACATGTACAAAACAACCAGCAGGGAACTTGAGTTTTGGCATTGTTTTCCTTTTAAAAATACTCATCAGTTAGCTCGGAACCATAGTATAATTAGCGATCCCTAAACTACACTCGGCGTATAAGACGGCCCCCCAATTAGAAGCAGAAATTTATGGTGTGAAAAGTCGTCTTATACGCCGGAAAATACGGTACGTTTGCTTCATCAACAATCCCACCAAAGAATGTCATATGACAAAAGGCCTGGCCTTGCTTGAAATTCACATCTGCTCCGTGACCCAAGGGCACTAGTCGCAATGTGGACGAGTGGTTAGCGTGTCAAGCTCCCATCTTGCGCTATCGCAGTTCGACTCCGGCTGAGGGTGTTGATAGACCGATGCGAGGTCGAAACTGTAGTCCACCCTGGATGAGAACAACTTTTGGTAAAGCAAGGCTATGTGAAATTCAATGGAAACGTCAGATCATCTTATATCATTGTGGGAAAATTCTACTACCAGTCGTTTATCCCCTTAGACGAAATAGGGTGAATACATCTCATATTACTGATTTACAGGTTGTCTCGAAATAACTTAATTACGAAATAAGGTTTTTTAAGCCATAGATAAAAATTTTCAGCAGTCCCTTTGAACGACAAAAAAAAGATAAGTAAGCGAGTCGGGCAAGAGAAATTGGTGAGAAGATAATATAATAAAAGAGCATGTCATCTGGAGAATTTAGACACCAGAGGAAAATTTTTGCCCTCGGGAAGAATTGCAAACATGTACAGGCTTCTTTTACTGTAAATGTGCATCTTTGACATATCGAAAGGACAATACACTTCTAATGCTTAGAGGTAATAAAAAGAGTTAGTTAACAAATATAAAAAACGTAATTATGCAGCAAAACATAGTTAAAACACATTCTAAAAGGCAGATTAAGCAGAATACCATAACTTAGACTAAATGACATTAATTTATCCCTTAAATTTGCTGAACACTATAATTTCACATATCTATTGATTAGAGCAACTAGGAAGTCATAAAGGTTTATAAAACAGGTATTCGTGACAAAACAAATGAAAGGGATTAAGTTTAAAGAGATCTAAAGTATGATTTGAAGAGGTAA